ACAACCACTCCCCAGCCCAAGGACACTGTGCCTACCAGTTATTCATACATAGGCTTCAGCACGACCCTTATCTGGGCTTCTCAGGCCCCAGCCCTCAGATCCTGTATCTGGAAGCCTCCCAATTCTTTAGTTGTGAGAAAGCTTTCCTCTGTTGCAGAGCATTTTCTCATGAAGACAGAGGGAGAGGGGTGTCCTTGACTGGCCCAAGAACTCTTCCTCTTACCAGACTTCAAAGATCCATTCCCCTTCCTGTCCAATATACTCCCTGTATTTTCCCATTCATAATCCCCAAAGACACCTGCACCTTTGGATTACCTCATCAGTGTTCCTGGTGTTTCTTTCCCATGCTCTTTTCCATATAAACCCTAGCTGCATTCTCAGTCTCTTGCAGGAATCCTTAAGAATCCTTGCCCGCTGAAAAGCGTAACAATAAATCTTTGCCACCTTGAAGAATGCTTGAGTCTGTGAATTCATTCCAGATGACCCATCCTGTACTCCGGTCTTTGAGGGGTCACAACCTCTCAACCTCTTACACCACAACAGTATAAGAAAATTTGTACAGGAGAGATTCAGTGGAGTGTGAAGCTGGGATATGAGTGGAACATGAAGATTAGATGGTAATAAAGAAAAGTGCAAAGGTAAAGTGTAGTATTGCATAGAGGTTCACAAGAAAGGGGCAGTTTTGAAGTTTATAAGACTTTACTCAAAGTCCAGGGTAAGGGAAAAGGGAGAAGGTTTAAGTAAGTCTGGGTGGAAATGGAAAGAAAATTGGAGTCCCTGTGAATAGAGGGTTTGGAGTTTGGGAAAGAGATGTTTGAGGAGGATTTTTGTTTTTTTAAATCTCATTGAGATAAGAAAGAGATGGGAAACTTTTTGGAGACATGCCTGTTAGAATTTGAGATTGACAATATTTAATCAAGTTAGAACATTTACCAAACAGAAACTATACTAATAACTTTGCAGCACGGAATTATTTGAGTATAGCATGCTAAAATTCTGTCTTGGTAGAAAGGTGTGTTCCAGTCTTTGTGTGAGGGATGATCTCTCGGAAGTGAAGCCTCCTCAAAGGGTCATTAGTTCCTGCTAATGGTTCTGGTACTGTTGCTTTTGAGTGGTACATGTGTACCCACACTAAGTGAGGACCCCTAGCCTTCTCCCTCTCCTACTCTTGGCTAGTGCTAGCAGAAATTCCTGAGCCATGGGAGCATCCTGTCTATCTCGTCCTCTAGCTGGGTGTATGACCTCGGGTAAAAGACTTTCTGAAACTGTGAGGCCCTGAAAAGGGGACCGTGCTAGCATAATTTCTCCACCTCTTTGTTCTCTCTGTTGCTGGGTTTTACACAAATAGATTGTATACCTGAGGCTCAGTCAATGAGCCAGCGGGAAGGGGGTTGGGGGGGCTGCTACGTTGGGGTCTATGTAGTCTTGCCTTGAACAAAGAACACTCGAACTCTCGGGGCAGCTGAGGCAGCACTTTCTCGAGAAAGTCAAGGAAGAGATCTCTCCTTTTGCAAACTGTTGTCGAGACTCTGGTTTTTTTAACTGAGTGAAACAATGTAAACAATGTGAGATCTCTCGGATGGACTGAGTGTAGCAATTTCTTAGACTGTTACAAACTCAAGGTTGGTTACACTAGACTGAATAGGCCTAAGTTTCAGGTTCCTAGTTACATCAGCATTAGGTAATGGCTAATTACTAAAAAGGATAAAATAGCTAGGATTGGTAGCGTTATAATGAGATTCCTTGTTTCTGGGGGAGATCTTCGCGTTTTAGATTGTAAGGCTGGAACTCCTGTCCAATGGGAATTCAAAGCCAGTGGTGGGTGGGTGTCTCCGTGTTAGGGCTATATAACCTTTGTCCTGGCCTTTGTTCCAGGGAGGAAGCAGACGCCTGCTTCTCGCGAGAACGTAATAAATCTTTCACTTTATACCTAGAAAATCTCTGAGTGTTATTTTTGGGCAGCTGTAGCACACAATATAATTAATAAAAGGAGTCAGTGACACTTTGGCATGCCAAAGACCCTCTTCTCCTCAACCCACTGAATATGCCCTTGGAAGAGCATGTATTCCTGACAACGGCCATCAGCTCTGATTGGTTAACAACTAATGAGACAGAATGTATATTACTATGAGGTGAACCTATTGTAAGGAGGGTCAGGGCAATCCAATTCCCACACCCACCCCTAAACCTGAGCAGAACACAATGGGCTTCCCCACCTGGGTTGGGGCTGAACAAGATTGAGGAGAAAGTTAATTCAAACTCATTATCAGCAATGTCTTTCAGATGCTGGCTTGGCCTAGTAGGGAGTACTGTCTAAATTCGAACCCAGGACTCGACATGCAAAGGCTCTACATGCAAAGTTCTTTCCATTGTATTTCCATCGCTTTCTCTCAAGAGGAAACAACACCCTGCGAGAGATAACGTCAAAAATGTGGATGGAGAAGAAGGGAGATCGAAATACGGAGAGAGAAATACGAAGAGACACAGACAGAAACAGCCAAGCAGAAAGGTAACAGATGGGGAACCAGCCTGGCGGCGGGCGCATGCGCAGTGCTAGGCCGACAAGGCCTCTCCCTCCCCTTTGACACGGAACTGGTTCTGGTTCCAGGCCCGGCTCGACGCTCCAGAGCTGCAACTCCCCCTATCGTGCCCAATGCGCACCAGCCTCTACAGCGGCTCTTGGGACTTCGGCGCACCAGCAGGAAGTACTCCCCGCTCTCCAACTCAGCCTCCCCCTGGTCCGACACCTACTTCCGGTCCTTTCCTTCCCAGAAGGGCGCGCAGGCGCTTTCGCAGCTGCTCTAGGACGCCCTGGAGGTCTTTTACATCTCGGTGGTTTCCTGGCCTAGAATAGGCACCTGATTAACTGCTGCTTGAGTGGAAGCGAAGGGCCTAGTTTTAGGAGCTGGATTCAGATCTCTGGGCCGTCAGAGCCTGGAGAAAGCTAGGGAGCACAGAGTCAAAACCATCTGTGGTACACATGGGGAAACTGAGGGCCTAGGACCACAGGGATTGGAGGAAACATCAACTCCACCCCCTCATTTTACAAAGGAAGAAACCGGCCCGAACAGGGCAGGGGATTAGGACTAGAGTTAAAGGGACCTTTAAACAACAGCTGGGCCAAAGCCCTGATTTTACAGGAGAAAGATAGAATGTTAGAGCTGGAAGGGGCTTTTTTCAGAGGTGGAAGCCAAGTCCCCCCTCCCCCCAAGCCAGGCTAGTGCAAAGGCATCAGATGTTCAATGAAAGGAGGGGGTGGGGGGATCATTCTGACATGACTTCTAGGTGTACAATGGGTAACTGGAGGGCACAGCACAACCATAGAACAGTGATGCCACCCCTTCACATCAACATTTTGGGGCCTGTGTGCCACCTCCAAGGGTTCTTGGAGATGGATGGCAGCACTAGGTCTGGAGTCAGGAACTCAAACCTCAGACACTTACATGTACAAGAGACTTAACCTCTGTCTGCCTCAGTTTCCTCAACTGTAAAATAGGGATAATAATAGCACCTCCGTCCCAGGGTTGTTGTGAGGATCAAATGAGCTATTTGCAAAGTGCTTAGCACAGTGCCTGGCTATTATTAAATGTTAATTCCGGTCTGAAGTATGTGCGTGTGCATGTTCATGTGTGCGCGTGCTCTTCTGACAGGCTGGTGTAGCCCACTGACCCCTTTTCAGAATGTTTTTAAATGCATCAAATAAAACACAGCATTACTAATGAGGCGAAAGGTTGTTGAAAAATACAGCTATCATGTTTTTTCCCCCATCCAAGTTCATACTTCCCCTGAAATCAGTCCATAGTTGGGAGTCTATAGCCCTCAAGGTAAGAATCTTGTCCTAGTGAGGAAAAATGCCTTTCTTCGTGCACCTACTAATTGGTGGGGTAGACCTCTGTAAAGTACAAGGTCCTTTTTCATTTTGTTTCTGCCTCTAGTGTCCAGTGCAGTGGCCTGAACGCTGTAGGTGCTTAATAAATACCTGTCCAGAATGGAACTGGAAAGACAGTGAAGTGTACTGGAAAGAGCCCAGCATGTGACGTCCAGAGTGCCTGAATTGGACCTCATGGTTCTGTTGCCAATTACAACACTGTGTCTTAAAATCAACATTCTTCTCTGGACCCATTTCCTTCTAAGTAAAATTGTATGGTTGAGAGGGAGAGGAAATTGGGGGCACTAATTCAATTCTCAGGCCCTTTCCAGCTGTCCATTTTGTGATCCTGTGAATCAAATCTCAGATCACATGAACAAAAGTCTGGCCACGGTCCCAATGACTACTTGGGTAGCCCACAGAGGAGGGTGACTGGGGAAGGAAAGAACTGCAGACATGACAGAGAGGGATCAGGTGGGGGAAATGGAGAAGGGAATGCTTAGGAGGGTTGTGCCTGTGGCCTTCAGATACATGGGGGAGGGGCTTGCACAGGGAAGAAGTAGGAATGATGGGAAGAAGTTCTGATTTCAAAGGGAAGTTGTTGTGATTAAAGCTACCTAGAAATGGAACTGGCTCGGAGTTAGAAGGGGCTTCATTTGTTATGGGGATGGATTGGAAAGCAGAAAGACACAGGGTGCCCAGGAAGGGCCAAGGGTTTGGAGGTTGGCAATGTCCAAGACCACCTTCGGAAATGTGACCACAGGCCAGAAACTGTGCCCATGAGGACCTCCCGGAGGCACTGTGGGAGAGCGTGGGAGCACTGCATTTGACCATCTGGCTCCAAGCCCTGGTTTTCTCACTTACCGTGTGACTGACCCCAAGCAGCTTCCCCTCCCTCGGGTTCAGTTTCCTCATCTGTAACATGGAGGCAACAACTCTTGCATTACGTGCTTTATAACCTTCCAAAATGGGACAAAAATGAGAGCTTGTTGGGTGGGGAGGAGACAGAGAGCAAAAGAGAAATACGTATGTTGGTTCCAACCAAATTGTGTCAATGGAGAGTCCCCACTGCAGCAGTCAGAACTCTTGTGCCCAGCAAGTAATAGGTGCTTAAGAAATCCTTGTTAATCAATTAAGGCTTGAAGTATAATTACAACACAAAGAATAGCTACCAGGAACATAGCACTTTAAGGGTCACAAAGCACTTTACATATATCACTTCACTTCCACAGACTCTGTAAGTATCATTAACCCCATTTGACAGATGACAAGCCTGAGGCTCAAAGAGACAGGCACCCAGCTAATACACTGCAGAATCAGGATTTGAACCCAGTTTTCCTAACTCCAACAGTAAGATTCTTTCCACAGTACAAATGGAATTACTTAAAATGAATTAAACTGGCCTTTCCTTAAGGGATGACAAGGTACTGATCCCTGAGTCCCGCCACCAAAGTTTCACAATTTCACTGTGGAATCTTTCAATGGAACACAATCATAAGTTAGATTCACAGCTTTCCCACATTTATTATGCTTAGTCAACTACTTCCTGGTGTGAATTTTCTGATGCTGAATAAGATTGGAGCTTTGGCTGAAGGCCTTCCCACATTCGCTGCAATCATAGGGCTTCTCTCCACTGTGGATCCTCTGGTGCTGAATGAGGTTTGAGCTGCGGCTAAAAGCCTTGCCACAAATATGACAGTTGTAGGGTTTCTCTCCACTGTGAATTATCTGATGCTGGACAAGGGCTGAATTCCACCTGAATCCCTTCCCACACGCGTTACATTCATAGAGAATCTCTCCACTGTGGATTCGTTGATGCTGGCTGAGGTCTGCCGTCCACTGAAAGGCTCTGCCACATTCAGCACACACGTACGGTTTCTCCACACTGTGGACCTTCTGATGCTGAACGAGGTCTGAGCTTCCCCTAAAGGCCTTCCCGCATACACTGCATCCATAGGGCTTCTCTCCACTGTGGATCCTCTTGTGTTTAGTAAGGATAGAAACTCGGTTAAAAGCTTTGCCACACGCAGTGCATTCATAGGGCTTCTCTCCACTGTGAATTCGCTGATGGTCAGTAAGGACTGAGCTACAACTAAAGGCCTTCCCACATTCACTGCATCCATAGGGCTTCTCTCCACTGTGGATCCTCTGGTGCTTACTGAGGATGGAGCTCCGACTGAAGGCTTTGCCACATTCTTTGCATTCATAGGGTTTCTCTCCACTATGAATTCTGTAATGTTCAGTGAGCACTGAGAAGCGGCTGAAGGCTTTGCCACATTCATTGCATTCAAAGGGTTTCTCTCCACTATGAATTCTCTGATGGTGAATGAGATTGGAACGCTTACCAAAAGCTTTCCCACATTCTCTACATGTATAAGACCTTTCTCCCACAGGAATCCTCTGATTTACAGGAATCTCTGAACACCTTTTCATACTAAAAGTCTGAGACTCCCTTCTCTGCAGTCTCTTTCCCATAGGTTCTCTCTCTTGGGTTACTAGCTTTAAAGTTCTCTTACACATATCATTTTTAGGAGGTCCTTCTGTGCTGGCTACTGTCCTGAGATCAACTGTCCCACAATGGAAACTTCTCTTCTGGGAAGGGGAGAGTCTGGATCTCTCTTGGGGAGGCTTTTTCTGCTGCACATCTACGTTTGTAGGTTTGTACTCAAGGGTTTCTCCTAAGTCAGGGAGAACGGCCCGTGGAAGTCCTGTGCATAACTTACCAGGTGAGTCCCTGTCTTCGGAAATGTCTTGCTTTGGAAAAGACCATCTTCTTGCAGCTTCGTCACCTGAAATGACAAAGAAATCCCATGTCACCTGCCTTCCCACACTGAGGCCACGTTTAGGCGGTGTATCAAGGTTTGTAAAGCACGTTACTCCTACCAGGTCATGTAAGGATTAACGTCATCTCTGTTTTACTGACAAGGAAACCTCAGGCCAGCAGAAGTCTCCTGCCCCACTCTGCTATACTCTCCCTCCAGAAAGGCCCAGGTCCACATTGCATACACTGTCAGAGGCAGTTCATATGGCTTACAGTTTTTCAGTTATAAGGGAAGTTTAATATGGGAGTGAGGGGAGTATACCCAGATACCACTGTGATGTGAAAACAAAAGGTATCATTCAAACAAAGAAAGGAAGAAAACAAGAGCAGGAATGAAAAGGTGGCAATCCCGAGGCCTGCCTGGGGCAGTCCCTCCCTTCCAGTGGGAAGGCCCCAAGGAAAGGATGAAATAAAAAGGGGAAGGGCTAATGAGCACAGAGGGAGAGGAGACACCAGTCGCTTCTGGGGAAAGCCTCAGCTTGGCCCCCCAAAGGCAGAACAACGAATGATGGGTGCGACTTACAGGGAGGCAGACTTGGATGTGCACAAATTAGACAACTTCCTGCAATGACAGGCGGTGCCTCAGGAGATAGCAGTTTACCCATCATGGAAGTTCCCCACATTGAGTCTGGAAGAACATTGGGTGGACCTTGTGCAGTGGACCCTGCTCAAGCCTCTGAGGTCCCAAGATTGTGTGAGAGCCAAGGCCCTTCCTCACTCAGGGCCTCAGTTTTCTCTTCTGTAAAATGAGGGTAACAACACAGGGACTTTCCCAGGCCACTTGGTCAGCATTCAAGCACCCATCTCCCTGACATTTCCTAACAGGGAGGTACACAGGTGCAGACCAAAGATGGAGGTGCTCGTTTTTACCTTCCTGAGCCTCCGTTTCACCATGAGCGATGGGGGAGGGGCAATGACTCCGGTACTGTACTCTGTGCCAAATGTGAACGGTGCTGCTTCTTACTCATCATTTCTGTTTGCAGCTTGCTTGCTGACACAGGCCAACCCTCAACCTCCCTTTCTGGGCTTTTCTTCCGATCTCTGCCCCCTCCCCACGTCTGACTGTCAAGCCCCCTCCCCACGTCTGACTGTCAAGCTCCAACGGAAGGGCTAATGCTCTTGGCTCCAAGGGATTTCCTGTTCCTTCGATTTCATGACAGAACTTTGGAGAAGTTCCAAGCTGGGAGGCACCTCCAAGGCCATCTGTGGAGCAGCCTGTGCCCTGGCAGGACGTCTTTCTTTCCCCTCTGCCCTCAGTGCTTCCGCAGCCCAGACTCTCACCCTTTCTCGCTGCTCTTCTCTCTGAGCCTCATCTGCCTGCATGGCCTTCGTCACACTCACCTGAGCAGGCTTTTCTGCTGCTGCTCTCAGGGCCACCCAGAGGATCCAAAACCCATGGCGCTTTTCCTTGCTCCAGCTGGCAGATCAGCTCGGGTTTGAAAAGTGGAAGTCCTCCTGATTGGAAACAAGGGTAGAGACTGTCATTTGGGCTGGGCCACAGATGTCCTGGGGATGGGGGTGGGGAGAAGGGACAGCATCATGTCAGAGGCCCAGGGTGGAAGGCAAGCTACTCACAGGTATGTTCCCACTAACTAGGATATAAAGGGGTGTGAAGGGAGAACAAAGTAGTGGAAAGAAAACAATGGTTTCACACCAGGGGACCTTAGTTTGAATCCCAGCACTATTATTAACTGTCTACATGATCTTGGGTAAATATCTTACCTTCCAAGAGGACTTTGTGGTACATGAATGTAATGAAATACTATTGTGCTATAAGAAATGATGAACAGGCTGACTTCAGAAAAACCTGGAAAGACTTGTATGGTCTGATGCTGAGTGAAGTGAGCAGAACCAATAAGACTTTGTACACAATAACAGCCACATTATGCAATGACTAAGACTGTTAAACTGAACCCTTCTCAGCATTACGAGGATCGAAGACATCTCCAGAGGTCTCGGGATGGAAAATGCTGTCCACATCCAAAGAAAGAACTATGGAAGTCGAATCGCTATCACTTATTTTTACCTTCTGTTGAGTTTTGTTTCCTTTCTGATGGTTCCTCCCATTGGTTTTAATTTTTACTTACAACTTCACTAATGTGAAAATATGTTTAATGGGTATGTAAATGTAAAGCCTATGTCAGATTGTGCGCCGTCTTGGGGAGGGTGGGGGGGAGGAAAAGGGAGAAAAATTTTCAACTCAAAAGCATATGGAAAAAAAAAAATTAAAAATTAAATAAATAAATATCTTCCCTTCCCTGGCCTCAATTTCCTCATCTATAGAACTAAGTGATTAGATGAGGCGATCTCAAAGGCCCTCTCTCTGGGTCTGCTCTCTAGCTCAAGCATGGGAATCCCTAGGGACAGCGTATAGGTAGAGACTCTAAGGAAAGTTCTATGGATGGGGAAAACCATTCACGGGGCAGCGTGACAAAAATGCTTTGTCGAGACTAGTCCGGTCCAGCCTCCTCATGTGGGAAAAGAAGCAGCAGAAACAGGACATGCTTTTGCCCAAAGGGAAACTGGAAACACTAGGTCTAAGTTACCTTTCCAGACCTCTGCTCCCGGTGCTCCAGCAAAGGTGACTGAGGCACTGTCCCTGGAGCTTTCTCCTCTCCCTGCCCTGGCTCTCTATGCCCCAACCTCTTGGCCTCTTTGACTCTCATTTAGCCTTCAGGGAAGCCTTCCCCACAGCCAGAGGGAGAAGACAAAATAAAACACGGCTTTTCCTGGCCTAGTCTTTCTCTCTTCCACAGGCTGTCTGTTCTCTGACGATGTCCCTTCCTCCTGGCTGGGATCCCTTCCTTTCTGATCTGCCTGTACTCTGGAAACCTCCCTCTTCTCCTTCACTCCCCCCAATATCTGGAAACTTCTGTACGTGAGATAATCTAAACTAGAAAACCTCCAGTGTCCAACACCAATTTATAAGACCAATACCCCAGTGTAGCGCTGCCAAACTCAGACACAGGAGCCTTGTGGGCTGCCCAAATATTGACTTAGAAAACCACAAATTAACATCAATCAATCAACAATTATTAAGCACCTATTGTGTTCTAGGCATGGGCTAAGTGCTGGCGATACAAAAAGGAAAAGATGGTCCCTGCCCTCAGGGGGCTAACAATCTAACCAGGGAGACAATAGCCAAACACATCTATCCAGAGAGCTCTAGACAGGATAAATAGGAAATAACTAACAGAGGGAAGACACTGGATTTAAGAGGGGTTTGGGGAAGGTTTCTTGTAGAAAGGGGGATTTTAGTTAGGACTTAAAGGAAGCCAAAGAGGTCAGAAGGCTGAGTGGAGAAAGGAGAGTGGCCTGAGGGACAGCCAGAGAGAATGTCTGGAGCCCAGAGAGGAAGTCTTATTGTATTTTTACTTATTTTATCAAATATTTGCCAATTGCATTTTAATCTGGTTCACTCCAGCTGAATCTGGCCAGTGAGTTTGACACAACGGTCCCAGTGTATAAGCCAGCAAAGGACATGAATCATAAACTAAAAACAGCCAAACGAAATACTGCTCCACAGTGCCTCTGGCCTTCACTTAAACTTCAATAAAAGGGCCTAGTGCTTTTTGACACCGATTGTATCACCTCATTCTTTTGGTCCCAGCATGATAAGCATGGCAGAATATCAGAGCTGAAAGGGGCCTGAGAGAGTCTACCAGTGAAGCACCTATCCAAGGCCACACCTGTCAGAAACAGAGAGCAGCATGGGAGTCTGAGCCTCCAGCATTCTTCAGGCTCAGCCTAGCGTTCTTCCTACTACATCAGGCCCTTCTCCCTCCTCTGGCACTTTCTTATTCAATTACCACCCCCAACCCCCAATACAGGTAGGTTGTATTTAACTGGATAATAAAAAAATAAATAATTTCTCAGAATTTAGGTAGGCTGGTCCTGAGAGAAGAGCTTGCTCCCAGATCATGTTCAGTGCAGTGATCGTTTTGTGTCTTATCTTTATGGAAGCAGCTGGAGGTGGTGCACAGAGTGCCCCGCCTAGAGGCAGGATGATCAGAGCTCAAATCTGGCCTCAGACACTTACCAACAGCTGTGTGACCCTGGGCAAGTCACTTAACCGTTTTTGGCCTCAATTTCCTCACCTGTAACATGATGCTCATCATAGCATCTACCTCCAAGGGTTGTTGTTTTGAAAATTACGTGAGATAATCATTGTAAAGTGCTTAGCACAGTGTCTGGCTGTTAGACATGTTAACTTATCATTATTATCTCTATTATTAGACTGTAAACTATTTGTGGGTGAGGATTGTGTTTTATGCCTAGATCTTTCAAAGAATTGGTAAACAATTTACAGATTAATAAACATTTGCAGTGGCTCTCTGTTTGGGAACCCCAGCAAATGATGATGATGATGATAAACCTTCTCCACTAGAGTCCTTGTCTAATACATCATTGTAGTGGGGAGGTGATCCTGGGCGCTCAGTGGACTGTAAACTTTGTCGGGTCTCCCCAAGTCTGACGTGTCTTTCCTCGGAGGACCAGCATAGTTAAATGTGGAGAGGCTCATTACTGGATGGATTTTCAGCCATGACAACTCACGAGGCCATTTAGCGGGCGCAGGGGTCAATAGATGGAAGAGTGCATCAATCCTGTAAATTTGCTTCACTCTGTACATCTAATTTCTCACACACTGTAGCTACTTAGTTTTGTTCTTACATTTGTTGCCGTGGCCGAATGAGGAAGCCAAGACACAGAGCCTGGATTTCTGGAGGCGGGCTGCTTACCCAGTGAAGCCACATTGCAGAAATTCTCCAGCATCACCTTGGCATAGAGGGACCTCTCAGTGGGATCCAGCTGCCTCCATTCTTCTGGGGTAAAATACACAGCCACATCTTCGAATGTCACTGAGCCCTGAAACAAGAGTGTCTTACTGGCCTGGGGATAATCCCCTGGGTCTGCCCTGGGACCGATGGCAGAGCAGCAAGAAGGCGGGGCCCCAGAGGATTTCAGGGCCATAGCAGAAGGAGCACCTCACTTACCAAGTCAGCTTCTCGGGGCCCCAGTTTGGCATCTGCTACGTGGAAGAAACAGAATCTATCTAACGGAGGCTACCCAGGCCATTCCAAACTCACAGTGGCACCCAGTCACCCACAGAGTTATCACAGTCATCAACAGACAAGTACCAGAACAAAGACTTTACCACCATGATCCCATCTGAACCACACAACAACCCAAAGTAGCAGAGGAGGAAAAGAGGCCCAGAAAGGGAAAGTAATCTGCCCAAGTAGTCAGAGGTGGGATTGAAACCCCTGAGGTCATCCTGACTCCAAGGCCCGAACTTCACCCCACAATCTCTTAATATTCTATGCAGAGCACTTTGGAGCCCTTCAAACACTATGAAAAATTTGTTATTTTCATGACGATATCATGTTATACCAATCACATAATTATATCATCATCATCATTGTAACAACTCACTTTTTCTCTAAAGAGCTTTTAGCTAGATTCTTGAACTTGCATCCATAGCATTCAGTGTGAAGGCCTTTAAAGTTTCCCAAGCATTCTGCTCATACCTTTCTCCCACTGCCCCTCTCCAGGCCAGCTCAGCTATGTAGACATGTATAATAGGAATTTCATAGTTGAGGAAAGCAGAGGGAGTTACTTGTCCAGCATCACACAAACAAAGTAACAGGAATATGGGACCCCCTCACACGCCATCTAGTTTGATGCCCTGATCTGCGAGATGAGCCTGGGTTTGGTCCTAGAATCAGCCATTTAGGGCTGCAATGTCACTAAGTTCAGCCCCCTCATTTTACAGGCCTTGAGAGGTGAGGTGACTTACTAATGACTAAGTGGATAAAGCATGACTGAGGCCCAGGCCTTCTCGATTCCATCACACGGAGACACCAAAGAAACAGAGTACCTTGAGTCCGGTACAAGGCAGGATGAGCTAAGGCCTCAGGGGGGGCATGCTAGGGACAAAGAGCTAAGCTCATGGGGAGCAGGGATCAGGAGGAGGGGGCAATGGCTCACCTGGGCAGCAGTTCTCTGGAGTGATGATTCCATCTGGGGCAATGGGTGGCACTAAAGGAGGAGAAAGGGGCTGTGAATGAGATCAGGCTTTCTCTTTGACTCCATTTTTTTTTCTTTTTTGTTTTTTGGTGAGGCCATTGGGGTTAAATGACTTGCCCAGGGTCACACAGCTAGTAAGTCCTAAGTGTCTGAGGCTGGATTTGAATTCAGGTCCTCCTGACTTCAAGGCCAGAGCTCTGTTCACTGCACCACCTAGCTGCCCCTCTTTGACTCCTTCTGTAAGCGGGCTCCCTCTCATGCTAGGCAATGGGGGGGATGCAGAAACAGTCACCATACTTCTACTTTGGAAGAAATGCTCCAACTGGGCCTTCTGGGAACAGGACTTTTTTTGCTAGGCACACACCTGGGGAGCAGCTGTGGGCTCCAGATTAAAGGGATCCTTGACTGCAGAAGAGAGGGATTTCTCACTCAGGTAGGGGGCAAGCACACTTGTATCTGTACCCTATCTCCCCTGCCTAGACTGTGAGCTCACTGAGGAGAGAGACCCTATCTGATTTCTGACTGTGTCTCATCAGGGCCCAGCAGGAGGCAAGCAAGGAATACTTGTTGAATGGAAAAACAGGGATTTCTCTTCCTTAGGCATCAATCTGATCTTTTCCTTCTCTGCTCCAATCATCTCAGTGGTTCCCTAATGTTCCTGGGCCAGTCACTTCCCTTCCATGGGCCTTCATTTTCACTTCTGAAAAATAGGGGTTTTGAACTAAACAGTCTCTATGTTCCTTCCTATCTTTAAATGCTATGATCTTTCCAAGTAAAGTTCAAACTCCTTTCCATAGTAATCCCGCCCCCTCCTACCTTCTCCAACACATTGCATCTTCAATCACTGTCCCTTCTCACATCTTCAACCTCTCCCCTATCTACCATTCCCTCCTTACTGCCTTCAAATATGCCCTGCCTCCTCCATCTTTAAAAATCCTTCAACAGACCAACATCACTGGAAGGAAACTGTTTTCTTCAAAGTTCACAATGATCTCTCAATTGTCCCATCTCCTTTTTTTCCCCTTGGTCTTCATCTTCCTCAACCTCTGTGCTGCACTGACATTTGGTTCTGTTGACCACCTTCTCTCCTTGGATAATCTCTTCTGACAAGTGAATGAAAGATCATCTCAAAGTGAAGGCACCAGCAGCTGGGGAGGGAGGGGCAGGAAAAGCCTCCTAAGGAAGGGTAGGAAGTCAGCAGCTTTAAAAACAAAACCCGTTTAATACATTTTGTTGTAATTACTTGTTTAAAACTATTTAGCACTGAGGTCACAGATGTTTGGGCCAAGACTAGTCTTAGAAGAAGGGAGAGGAGAGGAGAGAACATTCTAGGTAGGGGAGACAGCCAAAGGCACAGAGGCTGGAAATGGTGCATGACAGGTGAGGAATAGGAAGTAGGCCAATGTGACTGGATTATAGAATCTGTAGTGCAGAGTAAAGTGTTAAAAAAAGAAAAACCGGAAAGGTAGGAAGGGGTCACGTTGTGAAAGGTTGTCAATGCCAAAAGTAGCTTTTTTACAAAAAAAAATTTGACCGTGGGAGTAACAGAGAGCCAGGGGAGGAGAGGGGGCCATGGTAGACCTGTGGAGTGCAGGATGAAGTAGGGAAGACCTTTGAGTCAGGATGGCTCAGATGCACTCCACACTCCCCTGGTGGACATTTAACGCTATCTAGCACGGGGCCACCCCTACCTCTCCAGCCCTGGTACACAGTGGAGGCCTCCTAGATGCTCTGCACACCCAACACTCCATCTCCTTTCTTCGTGCCTTTGACATGGCTGTCCCCATGATCAGAACGCCTTCCCTCTTCACGTGTGCTTCCTAGAAGCCCTGGTTTAAGGCAAAAGCTCAAGCATCCCTTCTTCTAGAGGCCTTTTCTGCTCCCCCAGGCTCCCCCCAGTTTACTTCTGCCTTGTACGCATTTTCCATGGGTGCGTGTGTTCACACACGTATATACACCCGTCCATACTGCCTTCCCGTGGCCATCCCCGTAAGGTCCTTCCGGGCAAGGACGGCTTGGTCTGTCTCCCCGTGTCCAGCTCCGTACTGTCAGCTGACGAGATGAACAAAGGCATCTTAGCCGGCTGTAACACTTTCCGGAGGTGAGCATAGAGGCTCAGAAGGCCGCGGGCTTCCTGCCCTCCAACCATAACGGGGGGGGGGGAGGGGGGAATAGGCAAGCTTTGGAGGAATGAGCGTTCACGAAGCACCAGAGCGGGGCGCTGGCCTCCCGTGTGGCCGCTGGGGCTGCGGCTCGGGGCCTACAGCTGGCCTCGCCAACAGTTATAACCCCAACCTCCATCTCGTGGGGCTCTCAGGACTCGCCCGCAGGCCAGCGCAGGTTAAGGCCCGGATAGGTGGACCAGAGCGCATCTGCGCAGGCGCGCCTGGGAGGCGCTACGGGGCCCCGGAGGGGACAGGAAGGACGGAGAGGGATGGGGGAGCCCGAGCCAGACCCTGGAGAGCTCCGGGCATCATCCCCTGCCACCCCAGGAGACTCAGATCCCTGGAAGGGGCGAGGCGGGGAGAGATGGAACCTGTCCCGGCGCTTCATACGCTCACACTCACCCCAAACCCGGAAAAGCAGCGGCGCTACCGGAAGTACTTCCGAATCCCTACCTGCCGTAAGCCTGCCTTTCCGCCTTCGTGGGGGAACTTCCGGTGCCGCTCTAGGCAGGCGCGGAGGCCTAGCGTCTCGGTGGTGCTCCCTCGGCTGTCCCCGCCCAGCCAGGTTTACTGAGAGGGCGGAGCGTTCCTCATGCCCCTCGGTCGCCTTGGAAACTGCTCTGACATTGGCAAAGATGACAGAGGACCAAAGTGGTCAATGTTGCAGGGTTTTTTGTTGTTGTTCACTTGTTTCAGTTGTGTCCAACTCTTCATGACCCCATTTGGGGTTTTCTTAACAGAGATACTGGAGTGGTTTGCCATTTCCTTCTCCAGCTCATTTTACAGATGAGGAAACTGAGGCAAACAGGGTGCCGTGAGGGGTTGCTGGCAAACAAACAGGCATATAGTCGCACTGCTGGTGAAGCTATGAGCTGGTCCAGCCATTCTGGAAAGCAATTTGGAGTGTGCCCAAAGTATCAATCCTAACTAGCATTTCTTGGGCTTCAGGGTTTATAAGGCACTTTGCAAGCAACCCTCACAAGCCTGGGAAGTCGTTTTCTTGATGAGGAAACTGAGGCTGAGTGACTTGGCAATACAGTTAGTAAGACTCTAGGACAGGATTCGAACTCAGGTCTTTCCTGACTCCAGGTCCAACACTATCCCCTGCACCACCAACAGTTACTTCACATGCCCTTTATTGACCCAGTGATACCACCACTAGAGCTATACTCCAAAGAGAACAAAGAGGAAAGGAACCTGTCTGTACACAGACATTTACAGCAGCTCTTTTTTTGTGATAGCAAAGAATTTGAAACTGAGGGAGTGCCCCTGAATTGGGAAATGGCCAAATAGATTGTGGCTTATGAATGTGATTCCACCTGGGACAATGAAAAAAGGGGCTGTGAATGAGATCAGGCTTTCTCTTTGACTCTTTCTGTAAGCGGGCTCCCTCTCACGCTAAGCAATAGGGGGATGCAGAAACAGTCACCATACTCCTACTTTGGAAGAAATGCTCCAACTGGGCCTTCTGGGAACAGGACTTTTTTTGCTAGGCACACACCTGGGGAGCAGCTGTGGGCTCCAGATTAAAGGGATTCTTGACTGCAGAAGGGGAGGGATTTCTCACTCAGGTAGGGGGCAAGCACACTTGTATCTGTACCCTATCTCCCCTGCCTAGACTGTGAGCTCACTGAGGAGAGAGACCCTATCTGATTTCTGACTGTGTCTCATCAGGGCCCAGCAGGAGGCAAGCAAGGAATACTTGTTGAATGGAAAAACAGGGATTTCTCTTCCTTAGGCATCAATCTGATCTTTTCCTTCTCTGCTCCAATCATCTCAGTGGTTCCCTAATGTTCCTGGGCCAGTCACTTCCCTTCCATGGGCCTTCATTTTCACAGGTTTGGACTAAATGATCTCTAATTATTAATACTGTTCTATTATTATACTGTAGGAAATGACAAAGGATGGTTTTGGAGAAACCTAGGAAGACCTTATGAACTGATTGCAGAGTGAAGTGAGCAGAACAAAGAGGACAATTTCTACAATAACGACAATACTGTAAAGACAAAGAACTTTGAAAGAGTCAGACACTCTGCTCTGCACACTAACCAAGCAGCATTCCAGAGGCCCCATGACGAAGCCGGCTGCCCACCTCTGGAGACATTCAGAAGGAGACAGGACAGTTTGCGGCAATCACTGGTATATTTTGCTTGACTATGCATATTGGTTACGAGGGTTTTGTTCTTGTTTCCCCAATAGTAGGAGTGGGTAGGAAGGAGACTTAATAAAAAAAAAACACAACTTAAAGAAAAACAACTTCCCCACTCCCATTTCTCTACCACTTTAAGGTTTGCAAGGCACCTTCCTAAGCACAGCCCTGTGAGGCAACTAGGGGAAATACTGTTATCTCCATTTGTAGATGAGGAAATGAAGGCCTGGGAAGGCAAGGGGCTTATTATGCATTGGAATGCTAAATAACAAAGAGAAAACATTTCCTTCTTTGCCTTCCCTAATGGATCCTTGTAAGCAAAAGATTGGGGCCAATTCATGTACATTTGGGAGGAAAACCAGGCTTGCTGAGACATACGTGATATATCCAGACCTATCCTTTTGGCCTGAGACCTAATTAGCTCTGGGGCTGAGTGCAACAAAGGCAATCCGGAATAAAGGCACAGAGTTCCAACTTGAAGAAGGGAAGGACATTTATCAGAATAAATTAACTGAGATCTTTCCTAGACCAAGAGATATAAAAAGAGGAGACTGCAGTTACTTCTTGGCCTCTAAGGTGTTTCCCCTGGATTTGTGCCCTAGCACCCATGGGAGGACTCTTTTATCTGGTCTGTTTGTCAGTATCCTGACCGAGTGGAACAAAGCTAGCAGCTCTATTCACAGATTGCCCATGTTTATTATGCGCAGAGGGCTCACAACAATGATTTTTCTGGTGTGAATTTTCTGATGATTAAGAAGGTTCCCTTTTTGGCTGAAAGCTTTCCCACATTCATGACATTCATAGGGCTTCTCTCCACTGTGAATCCTGTGGTGTTTTATTAGGATTGAGCCCTGAGTGAAAGATTTCCCACATATATTACATTCATAAGGCCTCTCTCCACTGTGGATTCTCTTGTGGTTAATAAGGTTCGAGCTCCACGTGAAAGTTTTCCCACACACATTACATTCATAAGGCTTCTCTCCTCTATGGATTCTCTTATGATTAGTCAGATCTGAGCTCCGACTGAAGGCTTTCCCGCATTCATTACACACATAAGGCTTCTCTCCACTGTGAATTCGAAGGTGGAGGACGAGCACTGATTTCCACCTGAAGGCTTTCCCACACTCATCACATTCATAGGACTTCTCTCCATGAGGGACAGTCTGATTTCTGGGAGGCTCTGACTTTTGCCTAATATTGCAATTCTGGGCCTCCCCACTCAGGCCACCCTCTCTGGCAGGCTCTGCTTCTTGACATTTGTTTTCCAAGACAAGATTTTCTGGTTGACATCTGGCTATGGAGATTGGCCTAAGAGCACCAGCCACATGCCTGGAGGTGGTCCTGTTCATGTTGTCCTGTTGGCCCTGGGTAAACAACCGTCCTTGTGAAATCCCATCTTGGGGAATGCCTGGCTTTGGCATAGACTCTTTGCTCTCAGGCCTGCCATCTGAAATGACAAAGAAAAGGAATGCATGTCATCGAGATTCCTGGGCCGGTGTACGTAAGGGGCAAGTATGTGGAGAGAAGTATATGGCTTTCCCAATTTTCCACTGGGAAATGGACGCCTTTCCAATTTAGGTGGGAAAGGAGGGAGGAAAGGTGAGCTCAGAAATGAGGAGCTGGGGGAGGAGTGTCAAAGTAAAAGGACTTATCACTCCACAGCAATCATCAGTAATGATAATTCCCATTTTACAGTTGAGGATCAGATAGGTTCAGTGACTTGCCCAAGGTCACACAGCAGGAGCCAGGACTTGGACAAGGGTCATAGGACAACAGGCTTTAAGGCTGGAAGGGACCTCAGAGGTCATCTTGTGGAATCCTTTCCTTTTACTGCTGGGAAAATCGAAGTCCAAGAGGTTCAGTGATTTGCCCAAGGCCACATGGGAAGTAAGTGGCAGAGCCCAGATTCAACAGGAACGACCAAGTCAGAGGAGGTGATAAGGAGGAAGAAAAGGGAAAAAGAGACAAGGGGACTGAGGTAAAGACCTCAGGAGCAGCGAGTACTGGCACCTGCCTTTGGTTCTAGGTCCCTGCTCACCTGGCCAAGTGCCTCTCCTGGCCTCAATGGTCTCTGTCCCCTGAAGATCCAGAGTCCACAGCATCTGTCCTCGTTCCAGCTGGGAGATCAGGTAAGGCTTGGGGCCCATAAACCCTGCCCAAGGGGAAGGAAGGCAGACAGGTGATTTGAATTGGGGATATAGTGTGGTCTAGCTAGAGCACAGGCCCAGTCCCTGGGGCAAGGCCAGGAGTATCCTGGGAGAGAAGGAAAATACCCATAAATGCCATCTGAGGCAAGGTCAAGAGGGATGGACAGGCGCCTCTCAAATGTGTTCCCAGCAACTGGGAGTCTGGGGGCTGATGATCTGGGAACAGAAGAGCAATTAGTAATCTGCCCTCCTCCTGCTAGGAGAAAGGTAGGCAATTCACAGGGGCAAAAGCATGTGTACGGGGCCCTGGGCACTTAGTGTCTAGTTGGGGTAAGCTGGACAGGGTCTCCTCCATGGGGTTCTGTGGGTAAGGAAGTTAACATTTACGAAGCATCTAGCTGTGCCAAGTGCCCGGGGATACCGAAAGAGGCACAAGACAGTCCCTGCCCTCTAGGAGCTCCCAGTCTCACAGGGAGACAAGACGCAGGTAAATAGGTGCAAAGCAAGCTCTAGACAGGAGAAATTAGGGGCAGTCTCAGAGCGAAGGCACTGGGATTCAAGGACACGGGGAAAGGTTTCTAGCTGAGACTGGAAGGAAGCCAGGAGGCAGAGATGAGGAAGGAGAGCACTCTGGGCATGGAGGGTTTCACTGCCAATGAAAAGGCACAGGGTAGGGTGAGCTTAGAATGTTGTATACAAAGAAGAGCTGGAGGCCAGAGTCACTGGATCAGAGAGTACATGGAGGAGAATGAGGTGTAAGCAGAATGAAAAGGGAGGAGGGGCCCGGGTTATGAAGGGCTTTGAATGCCTAACAACATTTTATATTTGATCCTGGAGGCATGAGGGAGCCACAGGAGTTAATTGAGTAGGGGAGTGAATGACATGGTCAGACCTGTGCTTTAAGACAATCACTTTGACTTATACGGGCTGATGCAAAGTGAAATGTGCTGTGTACAAAGTAACAGCAACATTGTGCCATGATCAGCTGTGGATGACTTAGCTCTTCTCAGCAGTACAATGAGCCCAGACAACTCTGAAGGACTCATGATGAAAAAAGCTGTCCCTCCCCAGACAAAGAACTGATGGAGTCCAAAGGCAGATTGAAGCAGCCTTTTTTTTAAACTTTCTTTATTTTTCTTGAGGGTTTTTCCCTTGTCTATGTTTTCTTTCATAACATGACTATTACGGAAATGTGTTTTGCATGACTACCCATGTATAACCTATATCGAATTGCTTGTCTTCTCAATGAGGAGGGGTGGGGAGGGAGGAAGGGAGAGAATTTGGAACTCAAAGTTTTAAAAATGAATGTTAAAATTGTTTTTACATGTAACTGGGAGAAAATAAAATACAAAAAAAGACAATCACTTTGGTAGCTGAATTGAGGACATACTGGAGTGGAGAGAGGCTTGAGGCCGGCAGCCTCACCAGCAGCTATTGAAGTAATCCAGGCATGAGGAGATAAGGGTCTGCAACAGGGTGGGGGCACCAGGGTGTCAGAGGACAGAAGGGCACAGATTTGAGAGAGGTCTCAAGGTAGGATCAACAGGCTTTGGCAAAAAATTGAATATGGGGGGTGAGAGAGAGTGAGGAGTCCAGGATGACCCCTAGGTTGTGAGCCTGGGTGATGGGGGAGAGAGTGGTACCCTCAACACCAACAGGAAAGGAAGGAAGAAAGGAAGGCTTGGGGGGGAGATGTCGAGTTTGATATATTTAGGGGACACTCACTTCAAGATGTCTAAGGGCAGCTGGAGATGAGAAACAGGTTAGCAGAGCGGTTAGGGCTAGACAAATGATATCTGAGATTCATCTGCATCGAGATAATAACTGAATCCATGGGAGCCGATGAGACCATCAAGTGAAAGAGTATAGGGAGACAAGAGAAGGGCCAGGCCAAAGGCTTGGGAAACCCCAGAGTCATCGAGTACAAGCTGGAGGGAGATCCGGCAAAGGGGACTGAGAAGGAGCGGTCAGAGAGGGAGGAGGAGAAGCAGAAGAGAGCAGGGTCACCAAGACCTAGAGAGAAACGAGTCTAGAGGAGGGCAGAGTGACCAGCAGCGTCCAAGGCTGCTGCGGGGTCAAGGATGATGACTGACAAAGGGCCATGAGATTGGGCAATTAGGAGATCTTTGGTAACTTTAGAGAGAGCAGTTTCAGGTGAGTGATGTGAGTGCCATCACAGAGGCCAGATGGCAGAGAGTTAAGAGATTGAGAGGAGAAAGGAAGTGAAGGCACCAGTTGTAGGAAATTAGCCACAAAAGGGAGAGGAGATATGGGATAGTAGCCAGTGGGGATGGACAGAGAAGTGAGTTTTTTTGAGGATGGGGGAGACACGCCATGTTTGTGGGCAGCAAGGAAGCAGCAGTAGACAGGGAAAGATTCAAGACAAATGAGAGAGTAGGGATGATAGGAGGGGCAATCTGTTGGAGGAAATGGCGTGGGATGGGATCACTTGTGCAGGTGGCGGGTTTGCCTCGGCGAAGAGAAGGCCACCTCTTTGTAGGAAATGGGGATGGAGGAGGAGCTGAAAGGAGCAGTCCGTTTCTGTAACTGCCCATTACCCAAGACCTTCCTTAGCTAGGCTCTTCAAATGTCTCTACTTGATAATTACTTCAAACTCTCATCATAATAAGTCTAATAAAGGACTGAGATGCCAGAAGGATGGAACAGACCAATCAGTTTCAGAATGATTGAAATCAGTTCATGGGCACTGGCGCTCTTGGAGGTTAGAGACATGAATGCCATGAGGACCATGTAGAGTACAAGCCTAGGCCTTTGGCCAGATGTTCCCCCAGCCTGCTCCCTCTGGCCACTGGACGACCACAGGCTTCACTGCTGCCATTGCTGTTTTCATGTTCACAGCTGGGAGCAACTGTGGGAGTCAAGTGAACCCCAGATCTGGGATGTCCGAGTGTGCATACTTGCCTAGGGAGGCTGCATTCCCATAATTCTCCAGCATCACTTCCCTATACAGGGCCCTCTGAGCAAGGTCCAGTTGCCTCCATTCTTCCCATGTGAAGTAAACAGCCACATCTTCAAAGGTCACCGATGATTCCTAAAACAGCAAGATCAATTTCCCAGCTCTGTTCAGGGATGGCTGGCATGAGGCAGCAGAGGGGTCGGGCAGAGGTGCCAAGCTGGGAGTCTATGGTAGGCAGAGTGAGAGGAGCATGAGACAGAGGAAAGAGAAGTTGGCCAAGAGCCAGGAGAGGCAGATTTTCCTGAGTCCTCGGTCTAGCACTAAGTGTGAGCTCGGCAAGTCCCTGTCCCCCTCCCCCACCTCAGTTTCCTTATATAGCAAATGATGGAAGAGAGGCTCTCTAAGGGGCAGTATGATGGAGTGGATGGAAAGGACACTGGATTCGGAGACAAGAGATTTAGATCTGACACTCGCTGTGTGATCTTGGGCAAGTCCCTTTATCTTCCTAAGCGTTACTTTCCTCATCTATAAAATGTAGATAATAATATTTGAATGAATTACCTCAAGGGGATTTTCTACAGGAAGAGCTTTTATAAAGCTTTAAAACATAAAGAATTCTAATGTAATCCCTGAGAGTCTGTGATGCTACAGGGGTCTGGTCCTGCTTCTGCCCCCAACGAGTCCCTTGCCTGCCCTACACCTCAGTTTCCTAGTCAGATTTGTAGCTCTGAAATTCTTGGATTCTCTTAGTCTGGAGACCTACATTCTCCTCCTCCACCCTCCTCCTCGTCTTCCTCTTTTACAAATTTGCTGAATGACATCAGACATCAGCCACCCCACCTCCCTTCAGGGTACCCCTGCTGCTTCACAGATAACTAAAATAAGACTAATAATCCCTGCCGTGTGTCCCTGTGGCCCTGCCTCCCTTCTCCCAGGTACATTTCGAGGGTTAAAGGGAACTGTTCAACAAACATTTATTCAGGGCCTTGTATGTCCAAGGCATTGGAGAAGCCTTCCACTGGGGGATGACATATACTGTTGCTGCCCTCAGGGCTTAGGATGGAACTGACTGGTATACAGATAAGCATGATACAAGATAGAGTTACACAGGATGCACAAGGGAAAGCGAGGGAGGTGGGAGCAATCTTGTCCCCATGAGGAAGGGGGAGAATTATGTGACAAGAAGCAGAGGGGGATGAAAGGGCCTCCCAGAGGGCAGAATGGCCTGAGGGAAGGCAATGGGTCTTAGCCCCTTGGCTTGGAAGGACAAGGGGAACCCCAACTTACCTGGAGGCCAACCACTGCCTGGCTTCTTCTGTTGCTTTTCAGAAGCCGGGCTGCAGGTGGAGCTAGGCGAGGAGAAAGGTCCAGTGAGACCACACCTCTAGTGGTGCTTCTCTTACCCAAGAGAACAGAAATTGCCCTCCCTGCCCCCCCATCCCCTTTTCCAGCCCTTTATCTCCTTACATGCAATTGATGGGAGTAAACCCGTCCCTCTTCTACTCAAAGATTTACCCACCTCTTTCTTACCCTAATACAGCTTTCAAGGCCCTCCAAAATCTGGTATCTCAAAATCCCTTTCGAGCCTTCTCCTGTATTACACCCCATCACACACTCTATGCTCAGGCCAAAATGCATGGCTCGCTGTACTCTCAAGCCCACTCCAACAAGCTCCTCATCCTCCCATGTCCTGGCCCTTTGTCCAGCTGGAATGTTCTTCCCCCTCTTTCCTTTTTTTTTTTTTAATTATTATTATCTTTTTAAATTTTTAGGCAATTGGGGTTAAGTGACTTGCCCACGGTCACACAGCTAGTAAGTGTCAAGTGTTTGGTCTGAGGACGGATTCCCCTCTTTCCTACTGACTTACTTCCCACCGTTTAAAGCACAATTTCGATAAAACACTATCTTCCCAAAATTCTGCCTGGCTTCACCAGCAGGGGGCGAACCACATCCCTGTCAGTTGACACAATGCTTCAATTACCTGGATTTAATAGGCGTGTCATGTAATGGTAGGTTCTCTGTTTGTGTTGCTAATTAGACTGTCACCTCTCTGAGGGAAGAGACTGAGTTTGGGACTGGGAGAGGCGGTGAGTAGACCGTCCTCCTGCTGAGTTGTCCTGACTACCTCTAACTGGACCAAGGCCATGGTTCACATAATAATAACAGTGCACACATACATTATCTCCTTCGATTCTCACAACAGCCAGGTGAGGTATGTGCTGTTATTGTCCCATTTTATAGAAAAGTAACTTAAGGCAGACAGAGGTGAAGGGACTGGCCCAGGGTCATCCAGGTACTGTTTGGGGCAGGATTTGAATTTAGGCTTTCCTGACTGCAGGCATCTATCCACTGTGCCATCTAGGTGGAAACTCAGCCCATATTATCTAGCTTGTCCTCAGTCACGTATCACATGCTATCCAGCCATGCAGCAGGCCTCAACCTGTCCTCTATCTACCTCCTATACTTGCTCTGGGAACAGTGGCCAGGTCACTCCCACCATCAAAACATCTCTCCCTGGCTTCTGCTGTAAGCTCAGTGGAGGGAGCGCGCACACACGCACGCACACACATGCACGCACACACACGCGCACACGCACACGCACGCACGCGCACACACACACGCACGCGCGCACACACGCACACACATGCACACGCACGCACACTCGCACGCACACGCACACACGCACGCACACACACACATGCACGCACACACACACACGCACACACACACACAACCTCACTTTGTTTCTGGCACATAGGAGGTGCTCAGTCAATGCTTCTTGGTTGTTGATCTAAACTTTGCACATAAGAGATGTTTAATAAACATTCACTAAATGAATGAATGAATGCGTGTACTCAGGAAGACCAGTCTAACCTGGGAAACTGGGAATCACTGAGACCACATAATCTTTTTAAAGTTCAACTTTATTCTTTCAGTTAACAAGCATTTACTTTTTCTCCACCCCTACTGAAAAGCTGAAAAAATCTGGGGAACCTCTGGCCCCAGGAAGCTTGGGGTTTGTGGGGTAAATGAGAGTCATCAGGGTATACACCCCACCAGTAGGTCACCAGCACCTTGAGAGGCAGGCCTGCATCTTGTCTATCTCTGCCTCCCCAGCATCATACCTTACACATAGTAGGCACCTAAGAAATGCTTGAACTGAAATGGACTTGTTGACTAAAGATGGATTTTTGTGGCCATTATAGGGAGAACTGTGATCGATTTACCCACAAGCGAGCAGCTGTGAAAGTGTCTCTTTCTGGGATACTCTCCTGGGACCTGCAGACTGACCTTCTTATCTGGAGAGACCTTAGGCTTAGCAGAAGATCCACTTGCCACTTGCCCTGTCCAACCATGTCTGAGTGGGTCCGGGTCCACAGTCTTCTAGCTCTGAGAGATGTTGTCCACGAACCTTTGTCTTGCACTCTCCGGAATCAGCCCTTAAACACACTAGCTGGGCACGTTTCAGAGATCTCTTTGTCATCCCCCCCCCATCTGTAACCAGGCCCTGCTGTTCCTGGAAGGCTCCCATTCCCCTTCCACTCTTCACCAGTTGCTAGCTTATGTCAAGTTCAAGGTCTAGTCCAAATGCCGGCTACTCAGGAAGCCTTCCTGGATCCCCATCTTGTTGGTTCTTCCTCCGCACCAGCTTTCACACAAGGCCCCATCTCCCCATTCACACAGCCACCACCCGGCGGCAAGCTGTAGCACGGACTATGGCCACAGCCTGCTGCTTGGCTCCCCCAGTCTCAAGTCTCTCCCCTTTGGTTCATCCTTAACTCAACTGTCAAAGTGATCCTCCTAAAGTCTGACCACATCACTCCCCTGCTCAGTGAACTCCAATGGCTCCCTATTACCCCATGATCAAAGAGAAAATCCTCTGTTTGGCACTCACAAACCGGGCCTCCTCCCACCTTCCCAGCCTTCTCATACCCTTCCTTTCCATTACACTCTCCACAGGGCAGTGACATTGGTCTCTGGTATCTCTGTTGCTCCATCTCTCTAGCCTCCCAGATGCTCTCCCCCTTCACCCTTGGTCTCCGGGCTTCTTTCAAGCCTTAGCTCACGTCCCACATTCTGCTGGGAGAAGCCCTTCCCAGTCCTCCTTAATCCAAGCCTTTCCTCAGAGATTCCCTCCCATTTGGCCTCTTGAGAGCTGTATGTAATTCTGATGATTGAGCTTGGCCCCAGGGATCAGAAGATGCACCTCCCTCCCTTCTCTGCTGATGGGGGGGCTCTGGGTGTGCAGCAATGCAGACATTGTCAGACTTAGCTGATGTGGCAGTCAGTTTTGCTAAACTGTCTTTCCTTTTTTTATATTCATCTTTTGTTGCAAGAGAGAGCTTTCAGGGTAGGGGAAAGGGAGCAATATATCTGGAAGTGAGGATATGTAAAACAAAAGGTATGATACAAACTGAGAAAAAGAATAACTCACCGACTGTTGCAGAGAGAGCTCTGTGCTGTCACTCAGAGAGGCCTGCCCGGGGGGCTGGGTGCTCCGTGGATGCCAAGGCTGTCCCTCTGTCCCCCACCCCACACTGCCTCTCTCAGATGCTCTGCTCATTTGTGTTACTTACATAGCTTTGGGTCCGTTCTAGATTGCATGCTCTCTGAATGCAGGCACCATGTCTTCCTTATTTTTGTATCTTCTCAAGAACTAATTCATTTCAACAAACATTTCTGCAACACTTACTAGGTGCCAGGCATAGTCCTAGGTCTTAAGCAGAACAGGCCCTGTCCCCAAGAAGCTTACTTTCTACTGGGGGGGTACACCACCTACAGGCAATATAAGATAACTTGAGAAAGGAAAAAGTACCTACACCTGGGGGAGAGGCAGCACCTGAGAAGAGCTCTGAAGGAAGCTGGGGATCTTAAGGGCTGAGCAGGGAGGGCATTCTGGACAGGAGGGATGGTCTGTGCAAAGGGATGGCCCAATTGGTTGAAATGCAGAGTACAGAAAGTAACATGAATTCAGTCTGGAAAGGTAAGGGGGAGTCAGACTGCAGAGGGCTTTAGATACCAGGCTGAAGGGTTTGTAGATTATCCTGTAAACAAGAGGGAGCCATTGAGCAGGGACATGACACTGAGAAAACCACCTAAGCCAGGGCTGTGGCCTTGAGGCCACGTGTGGCCTGCTAGGTCCTCGGGTACGGCCCTTTGACTGAGCCTAGCTTTTATAGAACAAATCCTTTTATGAAGGGGATTTGTTCTGTGATGTTTAGAGTCAGTCAAAAGGCTGAGGACCTAGAGGGCCACACATGGCCTTGAGGCCACAGGTTCCCCAGCCCTGAATCACCCAACACAGTGACCACAAGTCATAGCACAGGCTACATCCCACATCCTGGTCCTCTGTCTCTCCAGTGAAAGGAAGAACAGGAACATTATTTTGGCAGCTATGTATATAAGGATGGATTGGAAAGAAAAAAGATTGGACAAAGGGAGCCAGTTAGCCCAGATGTGATATAATGAGAGCCTGTGCAAGGGTAGGAGCTCCATAATAAGAAAGGCATGATTAAATGCGAGAGACATTGTGGTGGTTAAATCCACAAGACTCGAAGTGACTAGGCATTGGGGAGGGCAGGGGTCGGGGGGAGGACTCTGAGTGACTAGAAAACTGCTGGTGCCTTCAACAGAAATGGGGAAGTTTAAGGGGGGCACGGTGAGGGTGGGAGTGAGATGAGGAGTTCCACATTGGACATGCTGACTTTGAAATGTCTACAGGAAGTACAAATGGAGATGATGAACATTTGTTGTGGTCGTCACAGGATGGTAATTTAAAAGAGTGATCGAGGCTGAATTTATAGATCTGAGAATCTCTGGCATAGAGACAACGAAATGACCAAGAGAGTGTGAGAGAAAGAGTGTGTGTTAGAGAGAGAGAGAAGAAAGGTGCAGGGAAGAGATGGATGATGATTCAGCAAAGGAGACTTCAGAAAGAATGGTCGTACCCGTAGGAAAAGACCAGGAGAGAGTACTGTCACAGACGTGAAGGGAGGAGGCGAGGGTGGTGGCCAGTGCCCAAAGCCACAGAGAGGAATGAAGAAGGACCATTTGTTTCAGCAGTTTCAGTGCAAGGGTCAGAAACCATATTGAAAGAAGTTGAAACCCAAGAGGTAAGGAAGTGGGGGCAATGAATATAGCCAACTCTTTCTAGGAGTTTGGCCACAAATGGCCAAAGAGCTATCAGATGGTAGGTTAAAGGGATGGAGGGAGAAAGGGAAGATGTTGAAGGATGAAGGAGATATTGTAGGCTAAAGGGAAAGCGCTAGAGAGTAAGGAGGATTGAGGACGAGAGAATGGGTACAATCCAGGGGTAAAGCTCTGGGAGGAAATGGAAGGGGATGGAATCTAAGCGGAAGTAGAGCGAGCAACTCTCACAAGAAGGACCACCTCTTCCTCCAAGATCAGAGCAAAAGAGGAGAGAATGGGGGGATGCTCAAAAGGGGTGTTGAGGGATGGAGTGTGTGGCAAGAGGGAAAACAGAGCACAAGCCCTCGATTTTTTTCCAGTAGAGTAGGAACTGAGGTCCTCAGTGGTGAAGAATTGGTAGTGGGCCTTCAAAGAGAAGGCATTATGGGAAGTATCTCAGGCATTCAGGCAAGAGTCAAAGGACTGTTGTGCAGCAATGAATGCCCAACTGAGATTCGAGAGAACAAACCTGTGGTGGGTGCAATAAGTCAGGGCTGGGTTTGGTACATCATGAACGGTGATGGGACCAGGAGACGAACTGGTCTGGCTGAGGCTGGGAAAGAGAGACAGGGAATGGAGGGTGAAGAAGAGTAAATGGTCAGAATGAAGACAAATAATGGATGTAGGAGAAATGAGGTAGAGAAAGAGATGGAAGAATAGAACATTATGATCAGAGAGCGAAATTTCAGAACTGAAGATTCTGGGGGCACAGACAGCACCGGGCAAAGGGATGAGACAGAAAATGTGACTGTACCTTCAAGCTTAGCCCAGCACCTGTATATAGTAGGCACTTAGTAAATTCTTGTTGACTGACTGACTGACTGATTGTGGGCAGCTGAAGTGGAATGAAGATAGAGTTCATGGGATTGATGAACTGGGAAGCCAGAGTATCAAAGGGGGCATCAAGGAGTGCCAGTGTATGAGGGCAGGGGCTGGGACAGAGAAGACCCCATGAGAACAGAGGGAAGTTGGCCTGGAAGCCAGCTGATGCCAATGACCAGGGTCAGTACTGAATGAGACAGATGGATGGAGTGAACCTCAAAGGAGAGGCAAGGAATGTAATAATAACAATAACAATAACCATAGCTAACATTTCTGTAGCGCTCACTACTGTGCTAAGCACTTCACAAACATCTCATTTGGCCTCACAGCCAACCTGGGAGATAGGTGCTGCCATTATCTCCATTTTAAAGATGGAGAAAGAGAGGCAAAAAGAGGTTAAATGACTTGTTCAGGGTCATACAGTTAGTAAGTGTCTGAGGCTGGATTTGAACTCGGGTCTTCCTGACTCCAGGCCCAGAGCTCACACCACCTAGTTGCCACAATATGTCTATTTCTCACAGTCCCCAGTGTACTGAGAATGTAGCCAAAGATGCAGTGTTCCTGGGAGAAGAGCCAGCCAGCTGAGCACAAGGCAACAGTACTCGGGGAAGTGGTACTGGTTTCCATGGCTGCTCACTCCAAATGCAACAAAGCTACCACCATTACCACTACTACAACTGATGCCCTGGGGCTCAGGATATCCTCTCCATGGCTCTTGAGAGCTCTCCATCACCAGGGGAGCTCAGGTCTTCCTGGCTTTGAGGCCAGCTCTCTATCTCTATCCATTTCTAAAATGCCCACTCCATACTAGACACTGGGCCTATAAAGAGAAACCGTGACAGGCCCCTGCTGGCAAGTGAAGGCTTAGGAAGCATTGTTCTGTGTCCCAGCTCACAGCATTCACTCTGGCAGCACCTGCTCCTACCACATCTAGCATTGCCCATCTGAAGAAAATGCAGTATACACAAACACACTCACCATGCCCATGCTTTAGGAGACAATTCTTCCCTTTATCCAAGGAGTCACTGCAGGGTTTCTTTAAATGTCGAGCTCCCATGATGCACTGGAAATTGAGCTCCACTTACAAAAACCTGACTTGGCACAGCTTTTCCCAAACACTATTTAGGAAACAGATATTCAAGTTCTGGAGAAGCTAACAGCCAAGGAAGACAACAGCTCAGGGCTGGGTTGGTTTGTAGTGACTTGGGGATGTCAGATCTGTAATATGAAAAACAAAAATTCCCTTCAAAAACCATTTATTGGAGGCAAGGATAATCCATCATTAGGAAAACAATCAATACAAATAATCATATTGAAAAGCAAAACATCCAAAATTACATGATCATCTCAATAGATGCAGAAAAAGCCTTGGAAAAAGCACAACGTCTTTATGCTAAAAACCCTACAAAGTACAGGCATAGAAGCATTTTTAACATCATAAGAAGCTTCCATCTAAAATCAAAAGCAAGTATCATATGCAATACATAATAAACATGAGAGTGAGGCAAGGATGCCCATTCTCCCTGCTAGACAGTTCTAGAAATATTAGCAACAGCAATAAGAGAAGAGAAAGAAATAAAAGGTATAAAGAGAGGCAAAGAGGAAATAGAACTATCTTTGTTTGCTGAGATGATGCTTTAGGTGACCTTGCACAGCCCCTCCCTCACTCAAATCCAAGTCAATTGCAAGCCATGTGTCATCGTCTCCCTGATGTCATGGTCCTCTTCGGGAACGAAAGACAAACACAACCTGTGAGTAGTCCAAGCTGCCTGAATAGGGACCCAGCTAGCCAGTTCCAGTTGGGTAACTCAGCTCTTCTCCCCTCTCCTTCTCCCTCTCTCCCCTCCCCCTTCCTCTCCCCTGTGGGGTTTACTGGCTAGATTTCTTTCTCAAAGACCAGGCTTTAAACCCAATTCATTCTAGAGCTCATTGACTGGACTACTATAGTTCCCTGCCCCAACAGCACTTCAAGGTTATTTTTTGGGCCAGCCTGGCTAGAGTGAATGTAAATAATAATTATTTCTCTTTTGGCCAGCAACCCTGAGGGTCTTCCCCTCCCAGTTTGATTTTTTTTTTTTTTATTAAAGTGACCATCTCTTAACTCACTTCTTAAAAAGGCCTATTCACTGAATGGGGTTACCTCACCCGAAGTGAGAACCTGAAAAGATCTTTTGCTTAAAAGGGCCACGGTCTCCCATTGCATCCTGGGCCATCTCCAGTTGTCCTGATCTATATCTGGCCACTGGACCAGAATCTGGCTCAGGAGGAGAAAGTGAGGCTGGTGACCTTGCACAGCCCTCCCTCACTCAAAACAAGGTCAATTGCAAGTCATGTCATCATCTCCCTGATGTCATGGTCCTCTTAGAGAAGGAAGGACAAACACAACAACAATGATGCTTTAGCTGGAAAATCCTAGGTAATCAACAAAGATACTAAAAGGAACAATTAATAGCTTCAGCAGAGTTGCAGGCTAAAAAAAATCCTCAAAAATTAAAAAAAAATTAAAAACGACTTATCAGGAGCTTGGTGGAGGAGCACCAGGAAATACAAAGTGTAGATAAGACGGGTCCTGCCAGTAAGGAGCTTTCCACCTAGTAGGGGGATCAGACCACAATCTTCAATGAATCAAATAACTGTATGAAATGATATTCTATGAGAAATGCCTTAGAGACTTACAAAACACAAAGAACTGAGGGAGGTCTGAGGGAAAGGTCATTACTGAGCTGAGGGATAAGGGAAAACTTCCTGGAGGAGGAGGCATTTGAGTTGGACTTTAAAGGATTGATAGGAACTCAGGAGGGAAAAAGAGAACATTTTAGGTATAGGGAACAGTGTGAGCAAAGTCCTGGAGGTGGGAGAACATGGGAGAGGGTGAAGTTGACTGGTTTGTACATAAAGGAAAGTAACATGAGACAACACGAGAAAAAAATAGAACAGCACGAGACTGGAGGGTAGTAGGGAACCGCTGAAGATTTCTGAGCAGAGGAATGCTGTGACCAGATTGGGGGAAAGGACCTGCCCAAGGTCACACAGCTGGAGGCTAGACTCTGAACTAGAATTCTCTTTGCTGCTTCCTTCCCTCTCCATCTCAGGCTTATCCCTCCAGGGCCTAGGTTTCAGGCTTCTTTATATTCCCCACCCCAACCCCAACCCTCCACATACTGGAGGCTAAATAGATATGGGTAAGAAAGATCACTCTGACAATGGTTCAAGGACAGATTAGGGGACAGATGGTAGAGCTAACTCAATTTCAAATTGTATTAAGGGAGTCCTGAACGAGGAAGGTAATAGTCCTGCTGTATTCTGCTTTTAGCCGACTACAGTTGGAGTACTGAGTTCAGTTCTGGGCTCTGCTAGCAAAGCCCTCTGCAGACAACAGTACTCGATAACTGTTCTTTGAACTGAAGTTCCTGCCTTATTTCTAGCCCGTGAGCTCTCCAGGACAAATGGGTCTTGTTCATTTCTGTCTCTTACACACGTGGCTCCAGTGTCCAGTAAAGGCCTTGTGGTGTACAGGAAACCCTAAATAAATGCCTTTCTGAATTACGTTGGTGCCTTTAGTCATTTAGTGAGTAAGGTCTTATTTACTCCTATCTGTGCCCCCCCCCAACAGAATAGGGACTTAAGAGATATTTGGTGATTAACGACTATACCCAGGTAATTAGCATCCAGTATGTGGAGGATGGGGGGGGGGGAGAATACAAAGAAGACTCAAATCTAGGCCCCAGAGGGATAAGGCTGAGGGGGAGGGGAGGGAAACAGCAGAGAGAATTCTAGTTCAGGCTCTGGCCTCTAGCTGTGTGGCCTTGGGGCAGGTCCCTTGCCCTCTCTGGGTCTCAGTTCCCCTACTGATACAATGAAGAGTTTGGCCTGTTTTATTTTTAAAGTGTTTCCAAGATTCTGACATTGTAAGTTACCCAATGAAAAGTCCGTGGCTGGCTCTGCCACTCTTGTGACCTTGGCGAAGGTGACCTTTGTGAACTTTCCATCTTTGGGCCTTGTATGAGAGAGGGATGATTAGACTAGAAGATCTTTAAGCAACCTTTTTGCTTTGAGATCCTATGAATTTATAGCTTTTAGGGGACGTTCAAGAAATCAGAGACGGCTTCCTGGAGGACGGGGCAGCTGAGTTAGGGCCTTTAAGGGTAGGAAGACAGCTAGGGTTTAAGCAGTGAGAAGACTAGAGGGTGGGCCTTAGGGAGATGGCGCTGACCCAGGTGCTGAGCCGGACCCAAGGGAAGAGTGTGCGCAGGCGCAAAAACAATAGTGGTTGGGGCTGAAGGGCGCCGGAGCTGGCGCAGGCGCAGGGGCCAATGGTCCCCGGAGGGGGCGCCATGGAGGCGAACAGAGGCCTTAACTGCAGACTCGGCCGGGCCCCAAGCTCGGGGATTCCACCCCCACCCGCCAAAGCCCCCCAGGGACCGCACTCACTCACTCACTCACTTTCCCCTGCTCTGGAAGGCGACTGCGTGTGCAGGAGGACCTGCAGGCAGGCCCCGGGCTGGGCCCTCGCAGCCGCTGCCTGCGCCGCGCATCCGGCAGCTGTTCTAAGCAGCCCGGAGGTCCGCGGGCCACCGGCCACCAGGGTTGGCTGCGCGCCTCGCGTTGCATAGCAACGGGGGCAGGGCGGGCCGGGAGCGGGATGGGGGGGCGAAGAGGTGGAGAGGAGGTAGAGAGTAAGAAAGAGTGTGAGCTGGTGGAGGGAAAGGAAGGGGGGGCAGGGAGCAGAGAGGAGGGAGGAGGAAAGAAGGGATCCACGAGGAGGAAAAAGGGCTGGCTTAGAAAGGAGGGGGAGAGGGCCGGGAAAGAGGCCAGATGAGTTTAAAACTACATCTCACAACACACACACACACAAAAAGCCTCTCCGAGCCCTGATTTCTCTCATTAAACCCACCATCCTCAGGCACCCAGGTTCCTGCAGAGTCATTTAGGCCTTCTTTTTCTCCCCAACCCCCTTTCCCTTTCCTTGGAAATCTCTTACTCCAAGGTCTCTCCCCTCCCCCTGCCCTCGCCCCCGAATCCCCAGAGCCCAGCCCAGGCCCACTCAAACAGAAGTTGGGTAGAAGAGAAGCAGAGAATTTGGAGCTGGAAAGGTCCTAGGCACATAAGAGACCTCAGATTCCATCTAGTCCAACTCATACTGGAACAATTGTTCTCTGTCCATTCAGCATCCCCAATGGAGATCCTTCATTTGAAGACTTCAAGGCCCAGGGACCTTGGTACCTTTCAAGGAAGCCATTCCCTTGGGGATGGTGCTCATTGGTAGGAAGTTTTTCCTGACCCCAACTCCAAATCTGCCCCTCTTCACATTCCACTCACTGATGCTGGCTCAGCCCTCTGGGATCAATCAGAAAAAGTCTAATCCCTCTTCTGTCTCACAGCTGTCTTCAGTGGTTGAAGGGCACTCACCTTCCCCCTTCAGTCTTCTCTTCTCCAGGCCAAAACATCCCCATTTACTGCTAGATCCTCATGTGGCCTTAGGCTGAGGTGTCCTTCACCCTCCTCCAGAAACTCCAACTTCTCAATGTCCTTCTTCTGAACACAATACTCTCAGTATCTTCTAACAAAGGGCAGAGTGTGGTGGAACCTCTCTGTCTCATTCTGCACACCAGGCCTGTCAATGCAACCTACATCAAATGAGCTCTTTGGGGTTACCATATCACACTGTTACCTCATGCTGGGTTTGCAGTATACTAACATGCCCAGGCCTTTGTCAGACACACGATTAGGGAGGTAGAACAGTTTGGCAGAAACAGCACTGACGAGTCAGAGATGTGGGGTTCCCTCCTACCTCTTAAATTTACTGCGTTGAGAATACGGTCAACTCATAACCTCCCTGGCTCTCAGTTTCCTCATCTGTAAAATGACAGGTTGCATTAGGTGGCTTCTGAGGTCAGCTCAAGATCTATGACTATTTTGCACTTGTGAAGATAGAGACTACGTCATCCAAGCCTTTCACTTGACAAATAAGGAAACTGAGGCCTAGAGAGGGGACATGATGTTTCCAGAACAGAAGAGATGTGACCAATAAGAGTTCCGCTGAAAAAGGTTTGCACGTCTTTACAGACTGGAAACTTAAGCTGAGTCAACAGCATGATTTGGCAGAGTCATATCTGGCACTGGCACTCAGGGCTCTCCGGAATCTGAAATTCAGCACTGCTTCTCAGCCTGTACTATCACCAGACTGATCTTCTGGAAGCCTAGCTCGACGATCATCTTTCCTGATTCAGAACCAAACTTGAGCAGCTCCTAAGCTCCTAAGACAAAGTCCAAAGCCTTTGGGCAGACATTCACAGCGTAGCACTAATGTCAAATGCCAACCCCAGCTCTGAATCTTGGAGCTCAAGAGGGCCTCTCCATTGGATCCAAGTTACACGATGTGAGTACTTGTTCTCCCGTGAAATGGGCTCGTAAGCTCCTTGAGAGCAGACTTGGCATCATGACTCTGTATCTGGCACCAAGCACAGGGCCTGGCAGCCAGAAAGCAGTGAATACATGTTTGCTGAATGAGCAGAGGAATGAGCCAACTAAGGGATGCTGGCCAGAAGCCGAGCAGATCAGGCTGGAAAGGGGGAAAGAGCCCACTGAATGGAAAACGGGGAAATTTGTAGAACTGGAAGATGACCGTAGACATTAGGTAGGTCAATTCCTCCTCGTTTTTCAGAGAAGAAAGCCAAGTCACGTCCAGCTCTTTGTGACAGCACACCAGTACCATCCATGGGGTTTTCTTGGCAAGGACATTGGAGTATTTGCCATTTCCTTCTGCAGAGCCAAACAGAGGTTAAGTGACTGTCTGAGGACAGATTTGAACTCAGGTCTTCCTTACTCTCAGCCTAGTGCTCTATCCACTGAGCCATCTAGCTGCCTCAAATGTAATTTCTCAATTATGTGCAAACAAAATCTTTTTAACATTTGTTTTTCTTTTTTTAATTTTGCATTCCAAATTCCCTTCCTACCTCCTCATCCCTCTCCTTGAGAAGGCAAGCAATTTGATAGAGACTGTACATGTGCAGTCAGGCAAAACATTTCCACAGTTGCCATGTTACAAAAACAACAACAACAACAACAGAGCCAGTCTGTTAAAAAAATCTACCAGTAGTAGAGTTGATGGAGTGGATGTGAGCATTTTTTGGCTAGCTCTCCCAATATGCTCCTCTGAATTCCAAGTGGGAAAACCAACAAAAAGTCACAGTGAGCCATTTTTCCAGCCCAAGGCAGCTTAAGAGGACAGAGAGCTCTGAAGACACATCTGTGGGCCTTGGAAGTGGCACCAGGAGTGCCCAGCAACGAGGGATGGTAAGGGGCCTGAACACCTGATCAGAAAGAGATTCTAATAGAGTGGTGGATCAGTGGAATAGGTTAAGTATGCAAGACACATTAGACAATAACTATAGTCATCTACTGTTTGATAAGCCCAAAGACCCCAACTTCTGGGATAAGAAGTCATTATTTGACCAAAAACTGCTGGGAAAACTGGAAAAGAATATGGCAGAAACTAGACACAGACCAAAATCTTATGCCATAGATGAAAATACTAAGTACTTTACAATTATTATCACATTGGATCCTCACAACAACCCTGAGAGGGAGGGGCTGTTATGATCTCTTTACAGATGAGGAAACTGAGGCACAGAGGTTATATGACTTGTCCAGGGTCACACGGCCAATAAGTGTCTGAGGTTGAATTTGAACTCAGGTCTTCCTGTCTCCAGGCCCAGTGCTGTCTCCACTGCATTCCTGTAGCTGCTTCATTGGGCTCGAAAACTATGACCTTAAGATGGTGGAGGGGATGCTCTCTAAGCGGCCTTATTGCTCTACAATTCTGTTTTAGCAGACCCGAGGTTTCATCGGTAAAGGAAACTCCCTCCACACAGACAACTGCTGGGCAACGTGTAGTCCTAGAGAACTGATTGTTAAGTGAGTGCTCAGGATCATAAGGCTAGCATGGGTTAGGGGAGGGACTGGAACCCAGGCTCCCCTGACTCAAGGCCAGCTTTATATGTTCTGCCACTTTCTTGGATAAGTGACCTTGGACAAGTCACTCACTCCAAGCCTGTTTTCTCATCTGTAAAATGAGAGGATTGTAAAGCAATTGAAACTGAATGTGGCGAATTTATAGTGACCAGGCTTAGCTCCAAAGAAGACATATGAGAAGCCACCTCTGGCTCCCCAGATCCTTTGACGAGGTGGAGCTCCACTGGTGTGGAACATTGCATATAAAGTCAGACTTTAGGGTTGATTGGTTTTCCTGAACTTTTCATTCTTGATTCTAAGGGCTGGCCCCCTCGGGAGGGACGCAGGTGAAATGGAGGCAGTATAAAGACAATAGGAAGCAATAAAAAAAAAATATACATCATTTTAACGATCTCTAAACACCCCTCTTTGAAGGCAGATGCGGCCCCTTTGTCTGCTCAGCACCAACAGCCAGGAGGCTCGCAGTGGCTGGGCCCAGCAGGGGGCGCTAAGTCACCGCAGAGCAATGAAATTGAGGCAGGAAGTGGGCGGAGAGAGCAGCCGAGCTCCCTGCGTGTACTTCCGGTGCTGTTCTAGGCAGCTTGGAGGACTTTTCGCCTCGGTGGTGTGACGGCTGGGCCTCTCGTTTTCATTGAGTTGAGGAAGGGATTGGGGGAGGGGAACGAGCAAGATCGTGGCCTTGGGAACGCCTGCGGCTGTCTTTCTGGGAGTTGAGAGGTTCTCCCTGCAGCCTGGCACCCCCATTCCTCACTAGTATTTTGTGGAAGCAGGAAGGAAAGTGTACCTAGATGGAGTCCAAAGTGCTGGGTTCAAACGCTGCTCTGCTCATTGCTGCCCATGTAACCTTGGGCACGCCATTTCACTTTTGGGGGACTCAGTTTCCCCCAATATACAATATGGGATTTGGACTAGATGACTTCCAAATTCTATTGAAACTCCAAGTGCATGATCCTTCCAAATCATCCCCCTCAACGCGGGGAATTTCAGGCAACTTGGAAGTAGAAAGAAGACCTTGGAGACTGACTAGCCCCAGAATCCAAGGCCCACAGGGGCGCCGCCGTTTACCTGCATGATCTGAAAGAGATTCCCCCACCCCCAACAAGCAATCACCCATCATCACCTTGAAAACGTCTGGAGGCAGCCCACACACAACTGCCATTCAGGGACTGTTCTAGTTGGGAGGAGGCTTTTCCTGACCTCTATTGCCTCTTGGGTAATTCTCTCCCTTTTGCTCCTCACTCAGCTCTCCCAGGCTAAGCCGAACAAGTCTATCATCTTCCCCACAAGGCTCTTCAGATACTGAGGCAGCTTTGGCATGCTTTGCTTTCTCATGCGAAATGACCCTCTTTCTAGGAATCCTCATAGGTGTGATTCCCATGTGGGTCAGAGGCTAAGCTGGAGGAAGACAAGAAGGGAATGAGAGAGGGGCAGATGACAGAGTGGAATATGGAAGGAGGGGAACCAGAGAGGGAAGAGACAGGCAAAAGCTAGAGACCAAGATGGTGACAAAGGGGAGAGCAAGGAGAAAAGGAAACCATTAGCAGAAGGGCAAACCCGGGGAGGCTGAGTGAGGGAAAAAAGAGACACACCGGAGACAGAGAAGAGGAGCAAGAAAGGAGCAAGCCAGAGAAACAGAGCAAGAAAGTGAAGGGCAAGAGGGCTGAGGACACACAGTGATCTTCTCCCTAGCTTTGTCCTGTGCCTCCCC